CCGGCCCCGGCTCCTCCCACACAGGGCCCAGCTCCCAGAGCACCCCTGAGGGAGCTGAGGGTCTCTGGGGAGGTGGTCCACCCAGATGGAGCCAGTGTCCTGCCCTCTGCCTGCCCCCAGCTGACCCCGGCTACCTCTGTGTCCAGCTGTGCTGCGGGCAGCCACGGGGCCCTGGCCGTGCACAGCATCTGCCCGCACCTGTCAGGACAGCCCAGGGGGGCCCTGTCCATGCACAGCATCTGCCCGCACCTGTCAGGACAGCCGGGGGGGGGGCCCTGTCCATGTACAGCATCTGCCCGCACCTGTCAGGACAGCCCGGGGGGGGGCCCTGTCCATGTACAGCATCTGCCCGCACCTGTCAGGACAGCCCGGGGGGGGGGGGGCCCTGGCCGCACCGCTCGCCAGCCTTATCTGTTTGCTTCTCACTCTACATCCGCTGGCAACCAGCAGTGGGCGGGGCTGACATGGCCATCGCGGCGGCCACTCCCTGCTGGTCCCTGGCTCAGGGCGCCCTGGATTTCGGCCCGGAGCCTGGGACTGCTAACATCTCCCAGGATGCTGAGGTGGGGCCGCAGGGGCCCGGGCCACCCGGGGAGCAGGGCAGCCTGGTGCAGCTCCCTCTCAGGAGCCCTGCTGCTCTCGGGTGCAGCCTGGGGCTCCCCCACGCTCCCCTGGGGTATGAGGAGGAGAGAGCACCCAGTGAGCTGGCTAGGGAGGTGCCCTGGCCCAGAGTCAGCCAGGAGGGGGTGCTGCACAGTACCCAAGGCCTCCGGCCAGCAGCACCCCTCAGGGAGGTGGGGGGTCCCAGCCAGGACCTCGCCTGATGGGAGGGGCTGCTGGGCCAGGCCTCCCTCCATGGAGGCTGCCTGGGCGGTGAGTGGGGGTCCAGACCCAGCCCGCTCCGCTCCAGAGGCCCCTCCCCACTCCTGGTCCCAGGCTGGAGCACACCTGTGCCCCGGGGCCCTGGTGAGCCTCCCCACACTGTCCGGTACCTGGTGTTTGGCCCCACCACAGGGCTAAGTGGACAAAAGGGCCCGCAGGCCCCTGACCCAGAAGGGCGTGGCAGCCGGCCTGTGCCGGCACAGTGCTGCGGCGGCTTTCCTGCTGGCTGCTCCTTCACCTGCCCCAGGCTGGGCCCCATCCCGGCCCCTCTTACGGCCACAGCCCTAACCTTCTGCCCACTTGCGGCCACACAGTGGGGCTGTGGACAGCGGTCAGCGCAAGGGTGGGGCCCGGGTCCAGGAGAGGGGCTCATGGCCTGTTCCCGGGGGGGAGGACCAGGCTTCAGGGGTGGGGGGCACTCCGCTGCCCTGGCCCAGGCACCGATAGGCCAGAGGTGGCTCAGGCAGCAAGTGGGGCCCAGGAGCTGAGGCCACCCACAGGGGCGCAGTCCTGGGGCCAGGCCCGGACTCCGCTGGCAGCATGCGGCTGGCTGGGTGGGCTGGGGGTTGTGCTGGGGCTGTGCTCAGGACAAGAGCCCGACAGGCCCCGGGGCAGGGGATGAGGAGGGACCCGCAGAGCCTGGGAAGATGCATGTGGGGGTCACCAGTGACCCTGGGGGCAGGGCAGGGAGGGGTTCTGGCTGAGATGAGGCTGCAGTGTCCAGGGCTGGCGTCCACCCGGCCACACACGGGGACTCAGAGGGCCACCACTGCCGGGCCTGGGAGAGCCCGCTCTGCCCCCGGGTCTCTGGTGCCCGCCCTTTGCCCAAGCAGTGGACGCCTGCCCAGGACCTTCCTGAGACATCCAAGGTCCAGGCTGGCTCTGACGTTCACACCTTGACCGTGGGTCACTGCCACGCGCCCCTCAGTCAAGTGTCCCAGCGCCGGCGGGCACGACGGCCCCCACCACCCCCGGCTCAGCCACAGCCGCATTCCTGTTCCCAGAGCTCCCAGGGCCCAGTCCTTTGATCTGCTGGCGAGCGGTGCCAAGCCCTGGGGGGCAGCCCCACCTACTCCCCCCAGGGACGTCACACCTGACCCAGGCAGGGCCCAGCGGGACAGCCGGCGTGTCCACAGGGACCCTTCCTGACAGCCCCGCAGAGCATGTCCACGCGGACCCTTCCTGAGTGACAGAGCCAAGGTCCAGTGCTGCCGCCCGCGGTGGGAGTCAGACCCGAGCCTGCGCCTGGGCGGCCAGCAGGCGCCCGCTCCCGGCTCTCAACCCCAGGCCGAGGTCTGCCCCGCGGCCGTCCCCGCAGCCTCCTCTCACCACACTGGGCTCTGGGGCACTGCCTCACAGCCGGCCTGGGCCCTGTGGTGACCGCCATCCAGGGCAGGGGTCTGCGCTGGGTGTGAGAGTGGACAATCGCCCCTTGTCCAGCCGCAGGTTCCGTTTCGAAGGCCAGGCAGCGGGACTCGGCTCTTATCGCGGCCGCGGCCCTGAACAATGGCCACACACAGGCTTATCTCCCTGCCTGCGCGCTGTTTGCCAAGCGCCTGCAAGGGCTCCTGGGCCAAGGGACAAACAGGCCATTCACCGGAGTCCCCCCAGAAGGAGCCACTGACGGGGGTGCCGGCCACACTGCCTGGCCGCAGCCATGTACCAGCCCCGGGCAGCGGGGCCCAGACAGCCCGAGATGCCAGAGTGCACCGCATCTCACAGGAAACTCAAATGCAGCCACACACGTGCACATGCACATGCGTGTGTGGGTACACATGCTGTCACCTGCACACGTGTGATGTGTTGCAGAAATACATGTGCCCGTGCGTACACACAGACCGCGTGGACCTGTGCACTGGACACGCACCTGCACACGGTGTGTGAGCAGTGAATACACATGGACGCTGCATGCCACCAAGTGCACGTATGTACGAGCGAACTTCAAAAAGCTCCTGGAAATCGGAATTAGAAGGTAAGCTTACTTCACAAAGGCAGAGAAAGCGAGAGAGAGAGAGAGAGAGAGAGAGAGAGCGAGCGACGGCGGGGGGCTTCCATCGGCTGTTCACCCCCAGCCAGGGCTCTCGATCCGGTCTCCACCTGGGTCGCAGGGCCCCGGGCACCATCTCTCCTCCCAGGGTGTGCACGGACACGGAGCTGGGGCTCAACCCAGGGCGCGCGGCACAGGATGGGGCACCTGGCAGCGTCTTGTTCCCTGCACCAAACATGCAACACCCAGGCACAGTGTTCTCACAGCACGCATTGCCCGTGAGCTGTTTGAGCAGACACCCACGCACACGCACATATAGATGAGGGAGCTTCCCAAAGTTCCTGGGGAAACGGAATTCAAAGACTAATTAATTTGATGTAAAAGCTTCTGATCTGAGAGGCAGAGAGACAGCGTGCGTGTCTGCACAGGCAACACGCAACACGCACGCATCACCTGCCGCACACGTGGGCCCCGCATTCTGGGGTGAAGCCGCGCCCTGGCTGCACCTGCTCTGCCTTCATGGCTGGGAACCTGGACCTGGGCGGCCAGGACCCCAGGCCTGAGGTGTGGCTGGGAGCTGGGCGGTCCCGCCCCGGCCCCTCTCCCCCAGGTCCCCGGGACTGCCCGACACAGCCTGAGCCCTCTGAGGGCAGCCTGGCTCCCCAGCAGCCCTGTCCGGCAGACAGGCCCCTCCTCGGCTGACCAGGCCACAGGGCCCTCTCAGTCCCGGTATCGCTGATGGCGTGGCTTCACTGGAGAGGGGCCCAGGACCCCTGCCCCTCCTGGTCCCCCCAGGTCCTGGCTGAGAAGCACCTCGGCCTCCCACCCTAGCAGGGGTGCCGCTGGGCACATCCAGGAGAAACCACCAAGACGGACGCCAGGGCAACAGAGCACCCAGCTGCCAGGGCCACAGCCAGCTGGGCGCCCCAGCCCTCACTCGGTTCTCTATCACTGAACCCCACGGTGAAACACAAGCCCCAGTGCACCTGCCACAGGCACAGGGGTAGGGCAGGATGGTGGCCCCCGGCCCAAGCAGCTGCAGGTGGGGCCCTGGGTCCACTGGGGGGGGGGGCACAGCCCATCAGGGGAGCCCAGACTGGAGTGTGGGTATTGGGGGGTCCCTTGATCCTGACTCTGGGGTGTAGCAGAGATGCCCCAGGAGAGGGCTGCCTGAGCCTGGCCCCTGCCTCGAGGCAGACCCCGGCCGCCTGCAGGCATGCCTCCCACAGTGTCCTTGACCCCAGCCCCAGCCCTGGGGACCCTGCCATGTGCTCCCCGAGACAAGGCCTACTTGCCTCTCGATGCCATTCCCAGGGCACCATGAACAGCAGGGGGCAGAAGCTGAGAGTGCCCCCGCAGCCCTGTGGGAAACCTCCCAGAGGTGAGCAGCCCCAGGGCCCCCCACCCTGCTCCCCCCACCCTGCTGCTCAGAAAACAGCAAGGGGGCTGCCCCCCCCCGGAGAGCACACAGCAGGGACCCCCACCCTGCAGGAGGCCTCCAGAGCGGGGGTCTCCAGGACCAGCAGGCCAGCCCGGGGCCAAGGGGCCACAGGGGCCTGGGGACACCCTCAGTGAGCTTCCCAGGCCCCCAGGGAGTGGCCTGTGATGGTCAGCGCCCCGGGACCACTCTGCACCTGCCCCCGCTACACCTCTGGAAGGTCTTTCCTCCCAGGGAGCAAACGGGGCAAGGAGGGGCCCAGCTCAAGGCCCCTCTTGGGGTCCTGAGACCCAGGGGAGGACAAAGCTCCCTGGGGAGGCGTCCCAGCCCTCGGGGCTCCCCACAGCACCCTGCCAGCCCCACCCTTGCCCCCCAGGACAGCCCGGACTCAGGAGGTGTTCTCAGGACCCTGGGAGGTGTGTCAGCCCCTGCTGGGAGTGGGCGATAACGGGGCCGTGACCAGCGCAGAATTTTCCAGAGGCTGGGTCCTGATAAAGCAGGGCCTGAGATCCTGTTTGGCCACCACTGCACCGGGGCTGGCGCGTGGGGCGCGGGCGGGCGCGGCAGGGGCAGGGCCGCCACCCCTATATAAGGTGCCCAGGGCCGGCCAGCCGGAGCAGCGCAGTGGTCAGGGCCGGACTGCTGGGACTCCCCGCCGCGGGCCGGGCCGAGGGGACCCCTGCGATGGGCGCCATGCTTGAACTGCGGCTGCCGCTGCTGCCGCTGCTGCTGTCCTGCGGGGCTGCCCTGCTGGCTGCCGGTGAGTGGGGCCCGCAGGCCACGCCCCAGGGCGGCCAGACACCCCCATGCCTCAGAGGCCTGCGCGTGGGAAAGTCCCCGGGCCTTCTCGCCTCGCCGACTCGCTGTCGGGTAGAGGCAGGCTAGCCCACGTGGGTGGGCGGGGGGTGGGACGGCTCTTGTCCCCCAGGGGCCACCCTGCAGCCCCCAAGGGCTGGGCACGTCTAGCACAGGGGGTGCCCAGCGGGGGCAGGGGTGGGGTCTCGGCCTCAGGGCGACCCCCAGGTGTGCAGCCCATCTCCCCCTTTCTCTCCCACAAAGCCCCTCCCCTACCACCCAGGCCAGGAGCCATGGAGGCCCCCACCCATGCCTCTCACCTGGGCAGCTCTCCACCTGCCCGGTGACGTCCCCCAGACCCGTGCCGGGCCCCTTCCTGGCAGGCCTGGAGGCAGGGGGCTGACCTCACAGCAGAGCCGGCTCCAGGTCGCTGCAGGTGCCGCTCTGGGAGGGTGGGGGTGGGCCACGGCCCAGGCCAGGGAGCAGCTGGGGTCCCCACTCTGCGATGGCCGCCTGAGCGCCGCCCTGCCAGCAAAGGCCAGCGAGCGGGGGTCAGCCCAGAGGCACGGGCGGCAGGCGGGCCGCCAAGCGTGCATGGGAACAGCGAGTCCGCCGCTGTCTCGCGGCCGTCCAGGGGCTGGGAGAGGCCGGGGGTGGCGGCCAACTCCGGCCCGCAGGGCCCATGGGTCCTGGCCAAGCAGGCAGTCGAGTCCACAGCAAGCACAGAGGGTCCTGGCAGGAAGCACAGACGCCGGCAGGGGGTGACTGGGGGCCAGGGCCGGCGCGGGCACGGGCAGGAGGACCTGTGGTGCCCGTGTTACACGGGGCGGTCTTGCTGTGGGACGCTGGCCTGGGGCCTGCTGTGCCCGACTCCCCCATGCTCACCCCAGAAGGAAAGGCCGGAGCTGGGGGTCCTGGAGGGGGACACCACCCCCCACCAGCCACCTGGGATGGGCACAGGGGCAGCCGTACAGAACACGGCCCGCAGGTCCAGTGGCTCCACAGCTGAGGCCCGTCCCCCGCTGAGAGGACGGGCAGGGGGCTCCCCTCAACCAGGGGCGGCAGGACCCCCGCGGCCGCGCCCACACTCAGGAGCAGAAGCCACCGGGGAGTTTGGGCGGGGGCCGCAGCGGGTGATGGGCAGGATGGGCCCCCGATGAGCTGAGTTCTGGGCAACGGGGCAGGGATCGCAGCAGGGTTAGGGGTTCCCCGGGGGCCTGGACAGGCAGCAGTGGCCCCAGTCGCCGCCCAGCCAGCACTGGCACAGCCTCAGGCCCCTGGGCCACAGGAAGCCTCCCTCAGGGGCTGGGAGAGAAAGCTGCAGGGGGGGGGGGGGCGGGTCTGTGTCCCAGCGGCCAGGCCCTGCGGTCACCGTGACCGCACCTGAGCCGGCTGTGGGGCCTTGGCCCTCACGCGGCCTCCAGGCGGTTCAGGGAGCCCGCGAGGGAGCCGGGGAAGAGGCCAGGAAGAGGCCCGCAGAGGCAGCCTGGCCGGGCGTCGGCCCCAGCACACCAGGCCCACCCTCCTCTCGCTTTCCTGTGGTGGGCGGGGCCTGGCGGTGCTCTCGGTGACCCTCTCTTTGCCTGGTGGACCCCAGGAGGCCTGGCGCGCCTGGGAAGTGACAGGCGCCGGCACAGGTGCCCCAGGGCCAGAAGCTGCTCCAGCCCTCCCAGCCCTGAGGCCCCGCACACAGCACACCTCCGCCGGCCGGCCTGGGTCCTCGAAGGAATCCGCTGGCTCCGCCCGCCCGCCCCTCCCCCAGCCCCTGCCCCCCCCAGCCTCTGGCCCAGCACACTGCTCTCTGCCCTTGTGTGTGTGCACACGTGTGTGTGCATGCGTGTTGCATGGACTGTGGAATGCAACAGACCCGAAACAGGAGCCCTGTGCAGGCAACGCTGAACCAGTGAGTGAGTGAACAAATGAATGAATGAATGAATGAGAGAGAGCAGAGAGCAGGTCCCATTGGTGAGCAGCAGGACAAGAGGCGGGGCTGGGCCTGCAGGGGTGGGGGAGGGAGCCTGGGGTGGCGAACGCGGAGGGGGCCACAGGCAGTCACCAGGCCCTGGGCTGAAGCCAAGGCCCCGCCACAGATGGGCCACCCAGGGCCCAGGCCGCCATCCTAGGGCTTAGGTGGGCTGGGGGCTTCCCCAGGAGGGGTCCAGGACAGGAGCCGCCTGGGCAGGGGACACTGAGCTCCTGCCTTGCAGACCTCACGACCAGCGACGCCTCAGACCTGGCCACGGAGGGCGAGGGCGGCCAGCCGTCCCGTAAGGCAGGCCGCAGCCCGGGGATCGGGGTGGCGGGGTGGGGGCAGGGCCCCCTCCCACACGGCTCCCGCTCCCTCCGCAGCCGGGGACCAGGGCTGGTGCTCCACGTGGGGGGCCGGCCACTTCTCCACCTTCGACCACCACGTGTACGACTTCTCGGGGACCTGCAACTACGTCTTCGCGGCCACGTGTGCCGACGCCTCGCCCTCCTTCAGCGTCCAGCTGCGCCGGGCGCCCGACGGGAACATCTCCAGGATCATCGTGGAGCTGGGGGCCTCGGTGGTCACCGTGAACAAGGCCACCACCATCTCCGTCAAGGACGTCGGGTAGGCCGTGTGCCCGGGCGGGCAGCTGGGGCGGGGCGGGGGCGGCACTGACCACGCTCGCCCCACAGGACGGTCAGCCTGCCCTACACCAGCAACGGGCTCCAGATCACCCCCTACGGCCGGAGCGTGCGCCTGGTGGCCAAGCAGCTGGAGCTGGAGCTGGTGGTCACGTGGGGGCCGGACGCCTACCTCATGGTGCGGAGACCGTCACGGCCCTGGCCAGGCCTGGAGGGAGGAGGGGGCGGGGGACAGGGAGCCTCGTCCCGCAGTGCCCAGCAGTGCCTGCCCCACAGGTCCAGGTGGAGAGGAAGTACATGGGCCAGATGTGTGGGCTGTGTGGCAACTTTGACGGAAAGGCCACCAATGAGTTTCTCAGCGAGGACGGTAGGTGGGATGGGGGCCGGGCCGGGGGAGGGGGCCGGGCCCTCTGTGGCTCGGTCCTCATGGCGCTGACCCCCAGGCAAACTCCTGGAGCCCTACAAGTACGCCGCCCTCCAGAAGCTGGACGACCCCAACGAGATCTGTGCCTATGAGGCCATCCCCAGCACCTCCGTCCTCCGGGTCACGGACGTACGTGAGACGGCCCAGACCACCCCAGCCCACCTCCCCAGTCCTCGGCGTGCAGCGGGCTGCGGGCTGTGGCATGGGCGCCCCCGTGACCCTCTGTCTCCCCAGTCCTCGGCGTGCAGCGGGCTGCGGGCTGTGGCCTGGGCGCCCCCGTGACCCTCTGTGGCCCTCTGCCCAGGCCCAGAACTGCACGCAGCTGCTGGACCTCGTGGCCCCCGAGTGCAGTGTCCCCAAGGAGCCCTTGGTGCTGAGCTGCCAAGTGGACATGGCCACCTGCGCCCAGCCGGGCCAGCAGAACTGCAGCTGCGCCACGCTGTCCGAGTACTCCCGCCAGTGCAGCCTGGCCGGCCAGCCCGTGCAGCGCTGGCGGGGACCCGGCCTGTGCTGTGAGTCGGGGCGGGGCCGTCGGCGTCTCCCTGGTGTGGGAGGGGCTGAGGCGGGGCCCCCTCACCGGACCCCTGTGTCCACAGCCCTGGGCCAGTGCCCCGCCAACCAGGTATACCAGGAGTGCGGCGTGGCCTGCACCAGGACCTGCTCCAACCCACAGCACAGCTGCCCCAGCCCCTGTACTGCCGGCTGCTTCTGCCCGGAAGGTGAGGGTGGGCGCGACCCCCACACCCCCGGACCACGGGGGCTGTCGGGTCTCCGCCAGGACTTCCCCCAGAGGGCCACCAGCCGCTGCAGACCCCTGGGAGAGGAGAGGGGAGGGGGGCGGGGGGCTCTGACCTTGGCAGAAGGACCCGGAGCTGCTCTGCTAGGCCCGTGTGCCAGCCAGGGAGGGGGGAGGGGGAGGGGGAGGGGCAGGGACGCCAGAAGCCCCAGGAAACCCCTGTCCCGCAGGCACGGTCCTCGATGACCTCTCCAGCAACCACACCTGCGTGCCCATCGCCCAGTGCCCCTGCATGCTCAACGGGGCGGTCCACGCCCCCGGGGAGGTCACCAGGACCGCCTGCAGGACCTGGTCAGTGCAGGGATGAGGGGAGATGGGGGGACACAGGGGGGCTCCAGCGAGTCACCAGGACCGCCTGCAGGACCTGGTCAGTGCACAGCCGGGGGGTGGGACATGGCGGGGACACAGGGGGCTCCAGCGAGGTCACCAGGACCGCCTGCAGGACCTGGTCAGTGCACAGCCGGGGGGTGGGACATGGCGGGGATACAGGGGGCTCCAGCGAAGTTACCAGGACCACCTGCAGGACCTGGTCAGAGCACAGCCGGGGGGTGCTCCTGTGGGCCGGCCAGAGCGGCCGTAGAATGGCTTCAGCCCCACAGACACGGGATGGGTGCTGCCCGGCTGCCCGCCTCCTCCCCACAGCCAGTGCACCATGGGCCGCTGGTCCTGCACAGAACGGCCCTGCCCCGGCCACTGCTCCCTGGAAGGAGGGTCCTTTGTCACCACGTTTGACGCCAGGCCCTACCGCTTTCACGGCACCTGCACATACATCCTCCTCCAGGTGGGGCGAGCTCCGAGGCCGGTGGGAAGGGGGCCCCCCACCCCCGTGCCTGAGCCTCCGCCTCTTCTCAGAGCCCACAGCTCCCGGACGAGGGCACCCTCATGGCCGTGTACGACAAGTCGGGCTACTCGCACTCCGAGACGTCCCTGGTCGCCGTCATCTACCTGTCCAAGCAGGTAGGGCACCAGCCTGGGCACCCCCTGGGCTCCTGCCCGCTGCCTGCCGCCCGCGGCCGCTGCTGACTCGGGCCCCCTCCCTGCAGGACAAAATCGTGATCTCGCAGGATGAGGTGATCACCAACCACGGGGACGTCAAGTGGCTGCCGTACAAGAGCCGTAGGTCCCGGGGCCTCGCCGAGCCGGGGCCGCGGAGGGGCCAGCCCGGGGAGGGCGGTGGGCAGCCGGCTGAGCACGTGTCTTGCAGGCAACATCACGGTGTTCAGGCAGACGTCCTCTCACCTCCAGATGGCCACCACCTTCGGGCTGGAGCTGGTCATCCAGCTGCGGCCCGTCTTCCAACTCTACGTCACCGTCGAGCCCCAGTTCCGAGGCCAGACCAGAGGTGAGCCGGCTTGACCCCCCTGTACCCCAGGGACGTGGCCAAGTGGCCGGCAGGAGAGGCAGCAGACCCCGGGCGGGGCCGGGCGCCATGGGGCAAGGCGATGGGACCGGGCGCCCCTCCCCCCTCACGGCCCCGCCTCCCAGGGCTCTGTGGCAACTTCAACGGCGACACCACGGACGACTTCACCACCAGCGTGGGCGTCGCGGAGGGCACCGCCTCCCTCTTCGTGGACTCCTGGCGAGCAGGGAACTGCCCGGCGGCCCTGGAGCGCGAGACCGACCCCTGCTCCATGAGCCAGCTCAACAGTGAGTGCCAGCCCAGCCTCCCACGCCCGGCCTCGGGCCACCTGCCCCCAGGCCCAGGGGCCAGGAGGGGACCCGAGACCCCCAGCTGGGCCTGTCGCCCCCAGAGGTGTGCGCGGAGACCCACTGCTCGGCGCTGCTGCAGACGGACGGCGTGTTCGGGAAGTGCCACGCCGTGGTCAACCCCAAGCCCTTCTACAAGGTGGGGCCCGCGGGGACGCTGGCCTGGCTGGGGCCCCCCGGGGAGGGCCGTGCCCCTCAGCCTGCTCACGCGGTGTCTCTGCCCGCAGAGGTGTGTGTACCAGGCCTGCAACTACGAGGAGACCTTCCCCCACATCTGCAGCGCGCTGGGTGACTACGCCCACGCCTGCGCCTCCCAGGGCGTCGTGCTCTGGGGCTGGAGAAGCAGCGTGGACAACTGCAGTGAGTGCGGGCGGGGGCGAGGGCGGGGGCGAGGGCGGGCCCCTCCCCCACTGCCTGACCAGCATCCCCCAGAGCAGCCCCGGCGTGGGGGCGAGGTCACGGGCAGGCCCCTCCCCCGCTGCCTCCCCGGATGCCTGACCCGCATCCCCCGCAGCCGTCCCCTGCACGGGCAACCGCACGTTCAGCTACGACAGCCAGGCCTGCAACCGCACCTGCCTGTCGCTGTCGGACCCCACGGCCGAGTGCCACGCCAGCGCCGTGCCCGTGGACGGCTGCAACTGCCCCCAGGGCACCTACCTGAACCACAAGGCGGAGTGCGTGCGCAAGGCCCAGTGCCCCTGCCTGCTGGAGAGCAACAAGTTCATCCTGGCCGAGCAGTCCACCATGGTCAACGGGGCCATCTGGTGAGGGGCCGGGCCGGGGAGCGGTCGGGCCGGGGAGGGGCCGGGCTGGGGAGGGGCCGCCGCGGGGCTCACGTGGCCTCTCTCTTGCAGCTACTGCCTCAGCGGACGGCTGAGCTGCCCGGGGCAGCCACAGATGCTGCTGGGTACGTAAACAGGCAAGGCTGCAGACCTGGGCTCTCGGTGCCCTCGGCCTGCCCTGAGCCGGCCTCGCCCCCGCCCCGCCTCTCCCACAGCTTCCTGCCCGGCCCCCAAGACCTTGGAGACCTGCAGCCAGACCTCCGAGAACAAGTACGGGGCGGCGTGCGCCCCCACCTGCCAGATGCTGGCCACCGGCATCGCCTGTGTAAGGGGCGTAGGAGCAGGACCTGCCCGGGGCCACTCCCTCTCTCTGGCCATCTTCCCTCTGTCCCCACGGCTGGTGCCCAGCGCGGGTGGGCGGTCACGGGTGGCCCGGAGGCCAGGCAGCCGGGGGCGGATGCTTGTCCTGGAGTCCTACGCACAGCTCCCTGTGGGAGTGGCGGCCATCAGCGCCCCAACCTGCTGCCTGTGGGAGGGGGAGCCTTGCTAAGCAAAGCCCAGCTGCCCACAGAGATCCCCGAGCCAGGTGGACACAGCGGGAGGGGCCTGGGGCCGGGGAGGACAGCAGCAGGCTGACCCCAGCTCCCCTCAGGTGCCCACCAAGTGCGAAGCCGGGTGTGTCTGTGCCGAGGGGCTCTATGAAGACGCTAACGGGCAGTGTGTGCCCCCCGAGGAGTGCCCCTGTGAGTTTGCTGGGGTCTCCTACCCCGGGGGTGCCGAGCTCCACACCGACTGCAAGACCTGGTGAGCCGCAGCCTCGCCCTGCCGTCCAGGGCCACTGGGCGGGGAGGGGGGGGGCTGCACTGGTGTCCAGGCGCTGAGGGTGTCCTGGAGGACGGGTGCCCTGCAGCCCCCACGAGCCCACCCCGCCTTCCGTGCAGCACCTGCTCTAAGGGGAAGTGGACGTGCCAGCAGAGCGCCCACTGCCCGTCCACCTGCGCCCTCTACGGGGAGGGTCACATGGTCACTTTCGACGGACAGCGCTTTGTGTTTGATGGCAGCTGCGAGTACATCTTGGCCACGGTAGCCCGCGGTGGGGGAAGGGCTCAGGGGGTCTGCTGGGGGGGTGGCCTCAGGGGGCTCCCCCTCACCGTCCCTCCCCGCAGGACGGCTGCGGAGCCAACGACTCCCGGCCCACCTTCAAGATCCTGACCGAGAACGTCGTCTGTGGCAAGTCGGGAGTCACCTGCTCCCGCGCCGTAAAGATCTTCCTGGGGGTGAGTGGCCGCGGGAGGGGCCCCGGGCCTGTCCCTGCTGAGCAGCCCCCCTCACCTGTAGGGCCGGGGCTGCCTGTGCCCTGGCTACAGGATGCCCTCTGGGCTCAGGACAGGGGCCTGGCCGTGGAGCACCCTCAGCCCTTGGCCAGGCTCCCGGGCCCCAGAGCTGGCCCACAGCAGGTGCCCAGCCCTGCCCCAGAGAGCTCGGTTCTGGGCAGGGGGCGGGACGGGGGGCGGTGCTGGTGGCAGAACCAGGGCCCGGGACTGGGGAAGTGGGCAGGCGGGCAGCCTGGTGACGGCCCCGCCCCCGCAGGACCTGTCCATCACACTAGCAGACAGAAACTACACGGTCAGCGGGGAAGACCCCTCCGTGTACTTCCGAGTGAAGCCCAGCTCCCTGAGCCTGACCCTGGACCTGGGCCTGCCCGGCAAGTACAACCTGACGCTGGTCTGGAACAAGCACATGGCCGTGTACATCACGATCGAGCGCGTGTCCCAGGTACCCGCGCGGCCCGGGCGCCCCCCTCGGCCACCCCGCCGGCCGGGGCCGCCCACCGAGCCCCGCCTGCCCCCCCCACCCCAGGACGCGCTCTGCGGCTTGTGCGGCAACTACAATGGCAACATGAAGGACGACTTCGAGACGCGCAGCCAGTACGTGGCGTCCGACGAGCTGGAGTTCGTGAACTCGTGGAAGGAGAGCCCGCTGTGCGGCAACCTGCGTGCCGTGGCCGAGCCCTGCAGCACCAACAGCTTCCGCCTGGCCTGGGCCGAGCGCAAGTGCAGCATCATCAACAGCCAGACCTTCGCCGCCTGCCACAGCAAGGTGGGCCCGGGAGGGCGTGCTGCAGGCTCCAGGCCTGCTCGGGGTGGCCCCGCCCCACGGCCCCCCAGAACAGTCCCTGAAAGGAACGAAAGGAGGGAACACCCCTTGGAGCCGGGGGGCGCCCCATGGCGGCACGGCCAGTGCAAAGGCCCCGAGGCAGGGACCCACTCCGCGTGCCTCCCGAAGTTCCGGGCAAGGGTGTGGTGGGGAGGGGGGCTGTGGGGTCGGCAACACCGTGACCCCAGCTAGGGGTCTGTGGTAGCACGAACCCGGATCAGAACCCCTCCCTCGGCAGCCCCTGGCCTGGGGCCCGCGGCCTGGCTTCCAGTCACGGTTCTGGTTCCCACGTGGTGGACAGGCACACAGGGTCGGGGCGCCGAGCCCTCAGGGCAGCCAGAGGCTGACTGGCACTCCCTGCCCTGCCAGGTGTACCGCATGCCCTACTACGAGGCCTGTGTGCGAGACACGTGCGGGTGCGACACAGGGGGGGACTGTGAGTGTCTCTGTGACGCTGTCGCTGCCTACGCCAAGGCCTGCCTGGACAAGGGCGTGTGTGTGGACTGGAGGGCCCCAGACTTCTGCCGTGAGTGTCTGGCACCTGCCCGGCCCAGGGCTGCCCCCACCCCGAGCCGCACCTCCCTGTGGCTGGTCTGGGTTGGGGTTGGGGTGGGGTAGGGGCGGGGCCGGGGCCAGGTCAGGGGCGGGGACTCAGAGGTCCCTCCCTGTGGCTTGCCCTGGTTGGGGTCCCCGTTGGGGTCGGGTTGGGGCCCAGCCCAGGCCCCGCCAACTCACTCATGCCCTCCTCTCTCCCAGCGATCTACTGTGACTTCTACAACACGCACACGCAGGTCGACGGCAACGAGTACCAGTACACGCAAGAGGCCAACTGCACCTGGCACTACCAGCCCTGCCTGTGCCCCGGCCAGCTGCAGAGCTTCCCGGAAACCAACATCGAAGGTTGCGGCGGCAGGGACGGGCTGGGGGGCAGGGCACCCCTCCCATCATGCACAGCGTGCTCACTCCATCACACACTCCAGCCCTGCACACACACTCATTCTCACACTCCCCCAGTCACACACGCAGGCTCTCAGCATTCACTCACACACCCACTGTGACATCCATCGCAAGCACCCCCTCCCTCACACGCACACACACGTAACTCACATGCACTCCCTCCCTCACACGCACACACATGTACACTCACACGCACACACACATGTACACACATACCCACATGCACACACATGTACACTCACATGCACTCCCTCCCTCACACGCACACACACGTACACTCACACACACACTCCCTCACACGCACACACACACATGTACACTCACACATACCCACATGCACACACACATGTACACTCACATGCACTCCTTCCTTCACACGCACACACACATGTACACTCACACATACCCACACACTCACATGTACACTCAACACGTATTCCCTCACATGCACACACACCCACATGCACACTCCCTCACGTATACACATGTACACTCACATACCCCCACACACACTCACATATACACTCACTTGTATTCCCTCCCTCACACACACTCCCTCACACGCACACACACATGTACACTCACACCCACACATGCACACGTATTCACCCACATGCACATTCACATGTACACACATGTACTCCTTCCCTCACACGTACCCACTTCCTCATACACACACACAGCCTCACATGCACACTCCCTCACATGCACACACACATGTACACTCACACGTACTCACTCACCCACACACGTGTACACTCACATGTATTCCCTTCCTCACAAGCACACACACTCCCTTAGCTCACATGTCCTGATCCCCCGTGTGCAGTCGGTCATGTGGGTCGGGGTCAGGGGCGTGACCATGCAGTAAACTAGAGGCCCTGTCTTCGGAGAGATGCCTGCAAACAAATCGAGTCTCAGCTGAGAGGAATGGGAGCTGCCCTGTCCAGCTGGGAGGCACAGGGAGGCCTCCATGGGAACCACACCTCTGGGCAGGGACTTGAAGGAGGCAAGTGGGGGCACAGGGCGGCGAGGGTGAGGGCTGCAGCAGGCCCTGAGGAGCCGACTGTGCTCCAAGCTCCCAGACAGGGGGTGGGCGTGGACAGACCATGGAGGGACCCTGCGCAGAGGAGGCCCGGTGGCAGGGACAGCAGCAGGGATGGGGAACTTGGGCCTGGCTCCGAGACCTTGAGAGGAGGGGGCCTGGCGTCTGCAGCCCTCAGAATGCACTGATGGACAGGATGGACCGGGCAGGGCAGGCCTCTGGGTGGTGCGCAAGGAGCCTGTTTGGCTCTCAGGAGGTGCCCTAACCAGCCCAAGAAGCCATAGACAGGGGTCCTCTGTCTGTGGCCCAGGGGACAGCAGGGCTGCCATGTTCCAGGAATCACAGGTTGCCATGGACTGAAACCCACTCTGGCCAGGCCAGCAAGGAGAGGGGAGTGGACGGAGAAGGGAAGGGGTGTGGCCCGAGGGAGGCCTGGGTGGGCAAGGGGGCCAGGTGGGGCCACTGGAGTGGGGAGGCGTGCTGGAGGCAGACAGCCGTGGGGATCCCAGCAGGGCCATCCCAGAGGCACCCTGGGGGGAGGGGCGGCTGGGCGGGGCCCTGACCATGCCTGGTGCTCCCCCACCCTAGGCTGCTACAACTGCTCCCAGGACGAGTACTTCGACCACAACGAGGGGACCTGTGTGCCGTGCGGTAAATCCCGCCAGCTGACCCAAGGGCCCCGCCCCCACACAGGCAGAAAGTGGGTGCTTGTGCACCCCCACAAGGCCCCTACAGGCCTCTGGGGCCTGCACCCCTAGGCTCACGGCCTCCAGCTGGAGAGCAGAGCATGGAACCCCATCAGCCACCAGCTCCTCTCCTCCCCTGGCCTCAGCGAGAGGCCACCAGGGTGGGCAGGTTTTTGGGGTGTGAATGGGAGGGCTCTGGAGTCTGGATACGGCCCTGAACCCCCAGGGCCACAATACCCTGAGATGGCAGCCTCTCCCCCCACAGCCTGTGTCAGCCAAGGGTGGCAGGGTGTGCAGGTGGGGAGGTGGACAGGGCGTGCAGGTGGGGAGGTGCAGGCTGGGCCCTTGCCAGGGGCCCCAGCCTTGGTGCCCTGACCATGGGGAGCACCTTGAACTCCTTAGGGCCCCAGGGGAGCTCACCGCGCTCTCTTCTTGCAGTGCCGCTGTCCACCACGCCCACCACGCCGCTGTCCACCACGCCTACCACATCACCGTCCACCACGCCGCCATCCACCATGCCTCTGTCTACCACGCCCACGACGCTGCCGCCCACCACAGGTGACACTGACCCTCTCCCCAGGGCTCTCCCAAGGGTCAGCCAGGCAGGTGCAGGGAGGGCAGGATGCAGGACGGAAACAGCAACCCTGCGAGGTCAGGCTCCGGGCCAGGACGGGTTCACCGGCCTCACCAGGCACACAGTCCAGGGCCTGAGGACAGGGAGTGCGGGCCAGTGCCTGCCCCACACCACAGCACATCTGTCCGCTCGGGCTCATCACCCACCCCAACGCCCAGCCTTCCGGGCACAGCCTGGGCCTCTCCCCCACAGACGTAGGGATCCACTCGAGCCCCTGGACCACACCCACGCCCTCCTCAGGAGGTGACACAGAGGGGCCCCTGCAGGCCCTGGCAGGGGCGCAACTGGGGAAGCTCCTGGGACATCTGAAACACACAAGCAGGCCCAAGTGTGGACCCCTCCCAGCAGCCTTGCACTGAGGACGTCTGGGGGACTCTAGGGGCCCCTCCCTGCAGCCTTATGGACTCCACACAGCCCAGGGACACGAGAGGGGATAGGGCATTGGTCCACATCAGCCGAGGAAGGGCAGGGGGCCTGGGGCAGCCCACACAACCTGTGGGCACGACTCCTGCGCCAGGCCACCGAGGCCGGGCAGGCAGCAGCAGGACACGACGGTCAGCCCAGGGAACTGAGAGGCAGCGGTCTCAACGCTAACTGGACAGTGAAAATGGACAGAAAAGGGGTGTGAGGCTGGCGGGGCTACACACACGCACACATGACTCAGCCAGCACACAAGAGCCACCACCCTGCTACTCCCAACAGCCACGCCGCGACACACAGTGACACAGGCCACGAGCCTGCCGCAGGCATCCTCCCCGAGACCTGCCACCAGCTCCACAGCACAGCACACAGCGCGCACCACGGACACGGCACCGAGCCCCGCACAGACGGCGACCACTCCCATGCAGGGTGAGTCACAGGCAGGCGGGAGGGCACACAGCGCAGCCCCAGGGATGGCTCTGGACAGCAGACACGGCGAGCAGACGCAGGCCCACAGGCGCTCACGAAGCACCCAGGCCAGCAGTGTGCACAGGTCGAGCACCACAGGCCCCAGGCAGCGCTCAAGAACCCCAGGGCTCTGTGACAGGAACGCTCGCCAGGGCACCAGAGGCCGGAGAACAAGGGGGAGGGACAGGGAGAAGAGGCTGGGCAGGCAGGAGAGGAACGAGCACAGCGGACGGCAAGCGGGGACCCCAGAGGTAACGAGTGCACCACCTGCTTCCCCCAGCAAACTCCACTCAGCAAACCCCAGAGACAACCGCCAGCCACAGGACAACGAGCACAAATCCAACTCCCGCCCCCAGCACCGGGCCATCCTCAACCACACACGAAACAGGACACGTCACACATCCCACACAAACGCCAAAGACCACAGAGAGAACACCATACACAGAACCCACGACCAGTCCCACCATCACCGCAGATACCACCACCAGGGCCACAACCACAACCTCAACCAGCACCACCACCGCAGGCACCAAGAACACGTTGCCAGTGGCGACGGCAACCACAGAGGCACAGAGTTCCCACAGCACAGCCACGACCGCGGTCTCTGCAAGGTCAACCCCTGCTTCCACACCGCACCACCAATCCACACCAGCGCCAGCTACCACGGCCACAACCAGGACAGCAGTCCCCACGCCCACCACCACCGCGCCCCCTACTACCACCCTTAAGCCAACTCGCCCCCCACATTCAGTGCCAGTCTCCACTGCCACCACCACACTGACCACCCAGGCTCCTACTTCTCTCAGCACTGCCAGGACTTCTGTCTCTGTGGTGTCAACCCCATCCCACACATCTCCCGAACAACCGACCACAGCCCCACCTACCACCTCCACCACCACCACCACCACCAGCAGCAGCACAGCCCCAACAGCCACCACCAGAGAGACTGTCTCTCTCACCACCCTCACCACCTCGTCTGTACCCAGCAGTCCTCACACTTCCTTCACAACCCCATCCCCCACCACCATCCATGCCTCTACCACCGCACACACCACGGTTCTCCCGACATCAACACCCGTCCAGTCCACCAGCACGCTTCCTACTTCCTCAAGCCAGGAGACCTCACTGCCCACAAGTTCTCCCTCGCTGTCCACTGCTTCGGTCACGACCACCTCTCACGAGCTGACCACTCCGACAGCACCAGAGACCACCTCATCCCCATACACCCCCACGCACCACCCACGCCCCCTACTACCACCCTTAAGCCAACTCGCCCCCCACATTCAGTGCCAGTCTCCACTGCCACCACCACACTGACCACCCAGGCTCCTACTTCTCTCAGCACTGCCAGGACTTCTGTCTCTGTGGTGTCAACCCCATCCCACACATCTCCCGAACAACCGACCACAGCCCCACCTACCACCTCCACCACCACCACCACCACCAGCAGCAGCACAGCCCCAACAGCCACCACCAGAGAGACTGTCTCTCTCACCACCCTCACCACCTCGTCTGTACCCAGCAGTCCTCACACTTCCTTCACAACCCCATCCCGCACCACCGTCCATGCCTCTACCACCGCACACACCACGGTTCTCCCGACATCAACACCCGTCCAGTCCACCAGCACGCTTCCTACATCCTCAAGCCAGGAGACCTCACTGCCCACAAGTTCTCCCTCGCTGTCCACTGCTTCGGTCACGACCACCTCTCACGAGCTGACCACTCCGACAGCACCAGAGACCACCTCATCCCCATACACCCCCACGCCCCCCCTACTACCACCCTTAAGCCAACTCGCCCCCCACATTCAGTGCCAGTCTCCACTGCCACCACCACACTGACCACCCAGGCTCCTACTTCTCTCAGCACTGCCAGGACTTCTGTCTCTGTGGTGTCAACCCCATCCGACACATCTCCCGAACAACCGACCACAGCCCCACCTACCACCTCCACCACCACCACCACCACCACCAGCAGCAGCACAGCCCCAACAGCCACCACCAGAGAGACTGTCTCTCTCACCACCCTCACCACCTCGTCTGTACCCAGCAGTCCTCACACTTCCTTCACAACCCCATCCCGCACCACCGTCCATGCCTCTACCACCGCACACACCACGGTTCTCCCGACATCAACACCCGTCCAGTCCACCAGCACGCTTCCTACATCCTCAAGCCAGGAGACCTCACTGCCCACAAGTTCTCCCTCGCTGTCCACTGCTTCGGTCACGACCACCTCTCACGAGCTGACCACTCCGACAGCACCAGAGACCACCTCATCCCCATACACCCCCCACGCCCCCTACTACCACCCTTAAGCCAACTCGCCCCCCACATTCAGTGCCAGTCTCCACTGCCACCACCACACTGACCACCCAGGCTCCTACTTCTCTCAGCACTGCCAGGACTTCTGTCTCTGTGGTGTCAACCCCATCCCACACATCTCCCGAACAACCGACCACAGCCCCACCTACCACCTCCACCACCACCACCACCACCACCAGCAGCAGCACAGCCCCAACAGCCACCACCAGAGAGACTGTCTCTCTCACCACCCTCACCACCTCGTCTGTACCCAGCAGTCCTCACACTTCCTTCACAACCCCATCCCGCACCACCGTCCATGCCTCTACCACCGCACACACCACGGTTCTCCCGACATCAACACCCGTCCAGTCCACCAGCACGCTTCCTACATCCTCAAGCCAGGAGACCTCACTGCCCACAAGTTCTCCCTCGCTGTCCACTGCTTCGGTCACGACCACCTCTCACGAGCTGACCACTCCGACAGCACCAGAGACCACCTCATCCCCATACACCCCCACGCCCCCACCACGCCCCCTACTACCACCCTTAAGCCAACTCGCCCCCCACATTCAGTGCCAGTCTCCACTGCCACCACCACACTGACCACCCAGGCTCCTACTTCTCTCAGCACTGCCAGGACTTCTGTCTCTGTGGTGTCAACCCCATCCCACACATCTCCCGAACAACCGACCACAGCCCCACCTACCACCTCCACCACCACCACCACCACCAGCAGCAGCACAGCCCCAACAGCCACCACCAGAGAGACTGTCTCTCTCACCACCCTCACCACCTCGTCTGTACCCAGCAGTCCTCACACTTCCTTCACAACCCCATCCCGCACCACCGTCCATGCCTCTACCACCGCACACACCACGGTTCTCCCGACATCAACACCCGTCCAGTCCACCAGCACGCTTCCTACATCCTCAAGCCAGGAGACCTCACTGCCCACAAGTTCTCCCTCGCTGTCCACTGCTTCGGTCACGACCACCTCTCACGAGCTGACCACTCCGACAGCACCAGAGACCACCTCATCCCCATACACCCCGCCCCCCACGCCCCCTACTACCACCCTTAAGCCAACTCGCCCCCCACATTCAGTGCCAGTCTCCACTGCCACCACCACACTGACCACCCAGGCTCCTACTTCTCTCAGCACTGCCAGGACTTCTGTCTCTGTGGTGTCAACCCCATCCCACACATCTCCCGAACAACCGACCACAGCCCCACCTACCACCTCCACCACCACCACCACCACCAGCAGCAGCACAGCCCCAACAGCCACCACCAGAGAGACTGTCTCTCTCACCACCCTCACCACCTCGTCTGTACCCAGCAGTCCTCACACTTCCTTCACAACCCCATCCCGCACCACCGTCCATGCCTCTACCACCGCACACACCACGGTTCTCCCGACATCAACACCCGTCCAGTCCACCAGCACGCTTCCTACATCCTCAAGCCAGGAGACCTCACTGCCCACAAGTTCTCCCTCGCTGTCCACTGCTTCGGTCACGACCACCTCTCACGAGCTGACCACTCCGACAGCACCAGAGACCACCTCATCCCCATACACCCCCACGCCCCCTACTACCACCCTTAAGCCAACTCGCCCCCCACATTCAGTGCCAGTCTCCACTGCCACCACCACACTGACCACCCAGGCTCCTACTTCTCTCAGCACTGCCAGGACTTCTGTCTCTGTGGTGTCAACCCCATCCCACACATCTCCCGAACAACCGACCACAGCCCCACCTACCACCTCCACCACCACCACCACCACCACCAGCAGCAGCACAGCCCCAACAGCCACCACCAGAGAGACTGTCTCTCTCACCACCCTCACCACCTCGTCTGTACCCAGCAGTCCTCACACTTCCTTCACAACCCCATCCCGCACCACCGTCCATGCCTCTACCACCGCACACACCACGGTTCTCCCGACATCAACACCCGTCCAGTCCACCAGCACGCTTCCTACATCCTCAAGCCAGGAGACCTCACTGCCCACAAGTTCTCCCTCGCTGTCCACTGCTTCGGTCACGACCACCTCTCACGAGCTGACCACTCCGACAGCACCAGAGACCACCTCATCCCCATACACCCCCACGCCCCCTACTACCACCCTTAAGCCAACTCGCCCCCCACATTCAGTGCCAGTCTCCACTGCCACCACCACACTGACCACCCAGGCTCCTACTTCTCTCAGCACTGCCAGGACTTCTGTCTCTGTGGTGTCAACCCCATCCCACACATCTCCCGAACAACCGACCACAGCCCCACCTACCACCTCCACCACCACCACCACCACCAGCAGCAGCACAGCCCCAACAGCCACCACCAGAGAGACTGTCTCTCTCACCACCCTCACCACCTCGTCTGTACCCAGCAGTCCTCACACTTCCTTCACAACCCCATCCCGCACCACCGTCCATGCCTCTACCACCGCACACACCACGGTTCTCCCGACATCAACACCCGTCCAGTCCACCAGCACGCTTCCTACATCCTCAAGCCAGGAGACCTCACTGCCCACAAGTTCTCCCTCGCTGTCCACTGCTTCGGTCACGACCACCTCTCACGAGCTGACCACTCCGACAGCACCAGAGACCACCTCATCCCCATACACCCCCACGCCCCCTACTACCACCCTTAAGCCAACTCGCCCCCCCACATTCAGTGCCAGTCTCCACTGCCACCACCACACTGACCACCCAGGCTCCTACTTCTCTCAGCACTGCCAGGACTTCTGTCTCTGTGGTGTCAACCCCATCCCGACACATCTCCCGAACAACCGACCACAGCCCCACCTACCACCTCCACCACCACCACCACCACACCACCAGCAGCAGCACAGCCCCAACAGCCACCACCAGAGAGACTGTCTCTCTCACCACCCTCACCACCTCGTCTGTACCCAGCAGTCCTCACACTTCCTTCACAACCCCATCCCGCACCACCAGTCCATGCCTCTACCACCGCACACACCACGGTTCTCCCGACATCAACACCCGTCCAGTCCACCAGCACGCTTCCTACTCCTCAAGCCAGGAGACCTCACTGCCCACAAGTTCTCCCTCGCTGTCCACTGCTTCGGTCACGACCACCTCTCACGAGCTGACCACTCCGACAGCACCAGAGACCACCTCATCCCCATACACCCCCACGCCCACCACCACCACGCCCCCTACTACCACCCTTAAGCCAACTCGCCCCCCACATTCAGTGCCAGTCTCCACTGCCACCACCACACTGACCACCCAGGCTCCTACTTCTCTCAGCACTGCCAGGACTTCTGTCTCTGTGGTGTCAACCCCATCCGACACATCTCCCGAACAACCGACCACAGCCCCACCTACCACCTCCACCACCACCACCACCACCACCAGCAGCAGCACAGCCCCAACAGCCACCACCAGAGAGACTGTCTCTCTCACCACCCTCACCACCTCGTCTGTACCCAGCAGTCCTCACACTTCCTTCACAACCCCATCCCGCACCACCGTCCATGCCTCTACCACCGCACACACCACGGTTCTCCCGACATCCAACACCCGTCCAGTCCACCAGCACGCTTCCTACATCCTCAAGCCAGGAGACCTCACTGCCCACAAGTTCTCCCTCGCTGTCCACTGCTTCGGTCACGACCACCTCTCACGAGCTGACCACTCCGACAGCACCAGAGACCACCTCATCCCCATACACCCCCACGCCCACCACCACCACGCCCCCTACTACCACCCTTAAGCCAACTCGCCCCCCACATTCAGTGCCAGTCTCCACTGCCACCACCACACTGACCACCCAGGCTCCTACTTCTCTCAGCACTGCCAGGACTTCTGTCTCTGTGGTGTCAACCCCATCCGACACATCTCCCGAACAACCGACCACAGCCCCACCTACCACCTCCACCACCACCACCACCACCACCAGCAGCAGCACAGCCCCAACAGCCACCACCAGAGAGACTGTCTCTCTCACCACCCTCACCACCTCGTCTGTACCCAGCAGTCCTCACACTTCCTTCACAACCCCATCCCGCACCACCGTCCATGCCTCTACCACCGCACACACCACGGTTCTCCCGACATCAACACCCGTCCAGTCCACCAGCACGCTTCCTACATCCTCAAGCCAGGAGACCTCACTGCCCACAAGTTCTCCCTCGCTGTCCACTGCTTCGGTCACGACCACCTCTCACGAGCTGACCACTCCGACAGCACCAGAGACCACCTCATCCCCATACACCCCCACGCCCACCACCACCACGCCCCCTACTACCACCCTTAAGCCAACTCGCCCCCCACATTCAGTGCCAGTCTCCACTGCCACCACCACACTGACCACCCAGGCTCCTACTTCTCTCAGCACTGCCAGGACTTCTGTCTCTGTGGTGTCAACCCCATCCGACACATCTCCCGAACAACCGACCACAGCCCCACCTACCACCTCCACCACCACCACCACCACCACCACCAGCAGCACAGCCCCAACAGCCACCACCAGAGAGACTGTCTCTCTCACCACCCTCACCACCTCGTCTGTACCCAGCAGTCCTCACACTTCCTTCACAACCCCATCCCGCACCACCGTCCATGCCTCTACCACCGCACACACCACGGTTCTCCCGACACCAACACCCGTCCAGTCCACCAGCACGCTTCCTACATCCTCAAGCCAGGAGACCTCACTGCCCACAAGTTCTCCCTCGCTGTCCACTGCTTCGGTCACGACCACCTCTCACGAGCTGACCACTCCGACAGCACCAGAGACCACCTCATCCCCATACACCCCACCCCACACGCCCCCTACTACCACCCTTAAGCCAACTCGCCCCCCACATTCAGTGCCAGTCTCCACTGCCACCACCACACTGACCACCCAGGCTCCTACTTCTCTCAGCACTGCCAGGACTTCTGTCTCTGTGGTGTCAACCCCATCCGACACATCTCCCGAACAACCGACCACAGCCCCACCTACCACCTCCACCACCACCACCACCACCACCAGCAGCAGCACAGCCCCAACAGCCACCACCAGAGAGACTGTCTCTCTCACCACCCTCACCACCTCGTCTGTACCCAGCAGTCCTCACACTTCCTTCACAACCCCATCCCGCACCACCGTCCATGCCTCTACCACCGCACACACCACGGTTCTCCCGACATCCAACACCCGTCCAGTCCACCAGCACGCTTCCTACATCCTCAAGCCAGGAGACCTCACTGCCCACAAGTTCTCCCTCGCTGTCCACTGCTTCGGTCACGACCACCTCTCACGAGCTGACCACTCCGACAGCACCAGAGACCACCTCATCCCCATACACCCCCACGCCCACCACCACCACGCCCCCTACTACCACCCTTAAGCCAACTCGCCCCCCACATTCAGTGCCAGTCTCCACTGCCACCACCACACTGACCACCCAGGCTCCTACTTCTCTCAGCACTGCCAGGACTTCTGTCTCTGTGGTGTCAACCCCATCCGACACATCTCCCGAACAACCGACCACAGCCCCACCTACCACCTCCACCACCACCACCACCACCACCAGCAGCAGCACAGCCCCAACAGCCACCACCAGAGAGACTGTCTCTCTCACCACCCTCACCACCTCGTCTGTACCCAGCAGTCCTCACACTTCCTTCACAACCCCATCCCGCACCACCGTCCATGCCTCTACCACCGCACACACCACGGTTCTCCCGACATCAACACCCGTCCAGTCCACCAGCACGCTTCCTACATCCTCAAGCCAGGAGACCTCACTGCCCACAAGTTCTCCCTCGCTGTCCACTGCTTCGGTCACGACCACCTCTCACGAGCTGACCACTCCGACAGCACCAGAGACCACCTCATCCCCATACACCCCCACGCCCACCACCACCACGCCCCCTACTACCACCCTTAAGCCAACTCGCCCCCCACATTCAGTGCCAGTCTCCACTGCCACCACCACACTGACCACCCAGGCTCCTACTTCTCTCAGCACTGCCAGGACTTCTGTCTCTGTGGTGTCAACCCCATCCGACACATCTCCCGAACAACCGACCACAGCCCCACCTACCACCTCCACCACCACCACCACCACCACCACCAGCAGCAGCACAGCCCCAACAGCCACCACCAGAGAGACTGTCTCTCTCACCACCCTCACCACCTCGTCTGTACCCAGCAGTCCTCACACTTCCTTCACAACCCCATCCCGCACCACCGTCCATGCCTCTACCACCGCACACACCACGGTTCTCCCGACACCAACACCCGTCCAGTCCACCAGCACGCTTCCTACATCCTCAAGCCAGGAGACCTCACTGCCCACAAGTTCTCCCTCGCTGTCCACTGCTTCGGTCACGACCACCTCTCACGAGCTGACCACTCCGACAGCACCAGAGACCACCTCATCCCCATACACCCCACGCCCACCACACGCCCCCTACTACCACCCTTAAGCCAACTCGCCCCCCACATTCAGTGCCAGTCTCCACTGCCACCACCACACTGACCACCCAGGCTCCTACTTCTCTCAGCACTGCCAGGACTTCTGTCTCTGTGGTGTCAACCCCATCCGACACATCTCCCGAACAACCGACCACAGCCCCACCTACCACCTCCACCACCACCACCACCACCACCAGCAGCAGCACAGCCCCAACAGCCACCACCAGAGAGACTGTCTCTCTCACCACCCTCACCACCTCGTCTGTACCCAGCAGTCCTCACACTTCCTTCACAACCCCATCCCGCACCACCGTCCATGCCTCTACCACCGCACACACCACGGTTCTCCCGACATCCAACACCCGTCCAGTCCACCAGCACGCTTCCTACATCCTCAAGCCAGGAGACCTCACTGCCCACAAGTTCTCCCTCGCTGTCCACTGCTTCGGTCACGACCACCTCTCACGAGCTGACCACTCCGACAGCACCAGAGACCACCTCATCCCCATACACCCCCACGCCACCACACACGCCCCCTACTACCACCCTTAAGCCAACTCGCCCCCCACATTCAGTGCCAGTCTCCACTGCCACCACCACACTGACCACCCAGGCTCCTACTTCTCTCAGCACTGCCAGGACTTCTGTCTCTGTGGTGTCAACCCCATCCGACACATCTCCCGAACAACCGACCACAGCCCCACCTACCACCTCCACCACCACCACCACCACCACCAGCAGCAGCAGCACAGCCCCAACAGCCACCACCAGAGAGACTGTCTCTCTCACCACCCTCACCACCTCGTCTGTACCCAGCAGTCCTCACACTTCCTTCACAACCCCATCCCGCACCACCGTCCATGCCTCTACCACCGCACACACCACGGTTCTCCCGACATCCAACACCCGTCCAGTCCACCAGCACGCTTCCTACATCCTCAAGCCAGGAGACCTCACTGCCCACAAGTTCTCCCTCGCTGTCCACTGCTTCGGTCACGACCACCTCTCACGAGCTGACCACTCCGACAGCACCAGAGACCACCTCATCCCCATACACCCCCACGCCCACCACCACCACGCCCCCTACTACCACCCTTAAGCCAACTCGCCCCCCACATTCAGTGCCAGTCTCCACTGCCACCACCACACTGACCACCCAGGCTCCTACTTCTCTCAGCACTGCCAGGACTTCTGTCTCTGTGGTGTCAACCCCATCCGACACATCTCCCGAACAACCGACCACAGCCCCACCTACCACCTCCACCACCACCACCACCACCACCACCAGCAGCAGCACAGCCCCAACAGCCACCACCAGAGAGACTGTCTCTCTCACCACCCTCACCACCTCGTCTGTACCCAGCAGTCCTCACACTTCCTTCACAACCCCATCCCGCACCACCGTCCATGCCTCTACCACCGCACACACCACGGTTCTCTCCGACATCAACACCCGTCCAGTCCACCAGCACGCTTCCTACTCCTCAAGCCAGGAGACCTCACTGCCCACAAGTTCTCCCTCGCTGTCCACTGCTTCGGTCACGACCACCTCTCACGAGCTGACCACTCCGACAGCACCAGAGACCACCTCATCCCCATACACCCCCACGCCCACCACCACCACGCCCCCTACTACCACCCTTAAGCCAACTCGCCCCCCACATTCAGTGCCAGTCTCCACTGCCACCACCACACTGACCACCCAGGCTCCTACTTCTCTCAGCACTGCCAGGACTTCTGTCTCTGTGGTGTCAACCCCATCCGACACATCTCCCGAACAACCGACCACAGCCCCACCTACCACCTCCACCACCACCACCACCACCACCACCAGCAGCACAGCCCCAACAGCCACCACCAGAGAGACTGTCTCTCTCACCACCCTCACCACCTCGTCTGTACCCAGCAGTCCTCACACTTCCTTCACAACCCCATCCCGCACCACCGTCCATGCCTCTACCACCGCACACACCACGGTTCTCCCGACATCAACACCCGTCCAGTCCACCAGCACGCTTCCTACATCCTCAAGCCAGGAGACCTCACTGCCCACAAGTTCTCCCTCGCTGTCCACTGCTTCGGTCACGACCACCTCTCACGAGCTGACCACTCCGACAGCACCAGAGACCACCTCATCCCCATACACCCCCACGCCACCACCACCACGCCCCCTACTACCACCCTTAAGCCAACTCGCCCCCCACATTCAGTGCCAGTCTCCACTGCCACCACCACACTGACCACCCAGGCTCCTACTTCTCTCAGCACTGCCAGGACTTCTGTCTCTGTGGTGTCAACCCCATCCCGACACATCTCCCGAACAACCGACCACAGCCCCACCTACCACCTCCACCACCACCACCACCACCACCACCAGCAGCAGCACAGCCCCAACAGCCACCACCAGAGAGACTGTCTCTCTCACCACCCTCACCACCTCGTCTGTACCCAGCAGTCCTCACACTTCCTTCACAACCCCATCCCGCACCACCGTCCATGCCTCTACCACCGCACACACCACGGTTCTCCCGACACCAACACCCGTCCAGTCCACCAGCACGCTTCCTACATCCTCAAGCCAGGAGACCTCACTGCCCACAAGTTCTCCCTCGCTGTCCACTGCTTCGGTCACGACCACCTCTCACGAGCTGACCACTCCGACAGCACCAGAGACCACCTCATCCCCATACACCCCCACGCCCCCTACTACCACCCTTAAGCCAACTCGCCCCCCACATTCAGTGCCAGTCTCCACTGCCACCACCACACTGACCACCCAGGCTCCTACTTCTCTCAGCACTGCCAGGACTTCTGTCTCTGTGGTGTCAACCCCATCCGACACATCTCCCGAACAACCGACCACAGCCCCACCTACCACCTCCACCACCACCACCACCACCACCAGCAGCACAGCCCCAACAGCCACCACCAGAGAGACTGTCTCTCTCACCACCCTCACCACCTCGTCTGTACCCAGCAGTCCTCACACTTCCTTCACAACCCCATCCCGCACCACCGTCCATGCCTCTACCACCGCACACACCACGGTTCTCCCGACATCAACACCCGTCCAGTCCACCAGCACGCTTCCTACATCCTCAAGCCAGGAGACCTCACTGCCCACAAGTTCTCCCTCGCTGTCCACTGCTTCGGTCACGACCACCTCTCACGAGCTGACCACTCCGACAGCACCAGAGACCACCTCATCCCTATACACCCCCACGCCCACCAGCAGACCACTACCAGCTACAACCGTCAAGCCTACAAGCCCTCCACAAACAGCCCCACTATTCACCGTGTCCACCACTGGGACCACGGAAGCCCACAGCTCACTCAGCACTGCCAGGACCTCTACTTCCTTCTCGACACAGTCATGGTCTAGTTTCTCGTCTTCTGCAACGCCTGTGACAAGTCCTGTCACCAGTCAGGTTTCTGTTCCTTCTGGCCCTCCTTCCTCTACTCTCTGGCCCACTTCTTCTCTCCCCTCCTCCGTGCCCACACCACACCCGTCCACATCTTCTGTGTCTTCTGCTGCCCTCTCTAGCTCTTCTTCCTCCGAGGCTCCTCCCTCGTGGTCAACCACCACTCTCAGCCCAGCCTCCTTGTCTCCGTTTCCCACCACTCCTCTGACTCTGTCCTGGCCTTCGTCCATTTCAACCTGGCCATCTTCCTCAGTTGCCTCCACTCACATCAGTGCCTCCGTTTCGCCTCCTAATACGCCATCTTTTCCCTCATCTGCTTCGCCTCTCATCACCACTGTCCTTGTGTCTTCCACCCCATCCCATGTCCCCCCTTCCAGCCCTGTGGACTTCCTGTCCACACCCAGGACTACAGCCAGCACCCCGCTTTCCACTGTATCCTCTCTGTCCACCACGTCCCAGTCTACCTCCCTCACCTCCCAATCCCCCACACCTGGCCTCGTGTCATCCACTTTGGGCGTGACGGCCATCCCCAGCACTCCAGCCGGAAACTTCACCACCCTGCCTCCTGACGCCAGCCCGTCGGCCACCTCCACGCTCCTGACCAGTTCCAGTCTACTCCAGTGGGAGCTCCCCTGCTCCCACTGCAGGGTCCTTCTCCACTGGAAGCCCCTGGGTCTCCTCTGCAGTCTCATCAGGTCAGTGTCATTTCTGCCACTCCCCACAACACCTGCTGAACGGCCCTCTCTGCTCTGGACAGCACCCAGTCATCTCCAGGACAGTCCACACTGTCCCTAGGCTGCCCAATCATTGGGTCTCCTTAGTGACTTCCCTGGACCTGCTCCCTTCTCTCTCAATCTTATCCCTCTCCCTGCAACTCCCACGGCTGAAGCAGGCACCCAGGAGCCCCCTGCCCCATTCTGGGTCTCTGTTCTTTCCTGCACCTGGCTCAGCCTTGTCCCATGTCCCTGCTGTAGTCATACCCTCCCCTCAGGGCCCCATCCCCTGCCCCAGGTTGCCTTCCACCACCACCCTCTGGGACGCCTGGCAGGAGCTCTGGGGCTTCCAAGCGCAACCCGATGCGGGCTGCAAACGGGACAGAAGTGCAGGCCGGTGTCCCAGCCAGGTGGCTGCTGGCAGCTGCCTTGGACTAGGGATGCGGCTGCCGCTCACCGCAGGCGCTCACTCTGGGTTTCAGAGCCTCCACCTGTCCTTGTGCCTGAGGACATGGGCTCCCCGCGCTTCAGGCTGCCGCTGGGGCCCTTTCACGCCATGCTCTGTGCGTGCCCTTCCCGTCACTTTGGGTGCTCCTTACTGGGCACCCAGCCACAACCACCAACAGCTCGCAGCCTCCATCAGGCTGATGGATCTTGGTTTGAGTCTCTGCATGAGATGCGGACTCGGGTGCTGCTGGGTGTTTCGTGGGAGGAGACCCCCCACGTCTCCCACCCATCTTCCTGAGAGGCAGAAGCGCAGCAGGCGGGCTCCACAAGGCTGTGGGGACTCAGCCTGGCACAGGATGGGAGGAGCACACAGGCAAAGCCCGCTTCTTGGCCTGGGGCAATTTCTCGTAAATTTATTTCAAAGGCAATGTCACAGAGAGAGAGGGAGAGAAGGAGAAGTCTTCCATCCACTGGTTCCCTCCTCAAATGGGTGCAACAGCCGGGGCTGAGGCAGGCTGAAGCCAGGAGCCGGGAGTTCCATCCAGGTCTCCCGTGTGGGCGGCAGAGACCCAAGCAGTTGAATCATCTGCTGCTGCTTTGCCAGGCGCATTAGCAGCAAGTTGGAGCAGAAACAGAGCACCTGGGACTTGAACCGGTGCCCATAAGGAACGCCAGCATCACAGGCAGCAGATTAATCCACTGAGCCCCAAAGCTGGGCCCCACACGGGCAGTTTCTAACGCCAGCGTGGCTGTCACCTGCCTCTGTCCACCTGTTCTGCACTGTCCCCGCGCCCATGCTGCCTGTCACAGTGGTGGCCCACACTTCAAACCACCCCTCCAGGAAGGAGCCCAGACCAAGGGACCTACTCCAGTCTTCCTCGACCAGTGAGACCGTCTCCCCTCTGGGGATACTGGTGCTCCCCTAGCAGGCACAGGCCCTGCTCCTGGGCAAAGCTGTGGGGTCTGGGCTGTGGGTGAGGGGTGTCACTCTGGGTGCTCTAGCAGCCAGTGGGTTCCTCCCCTCTTTGCTCAACTGCTGCACCCAAGCTTGTCTGACAGCCCCTCCTGTCCCCCAGGGGTGTGCAGTGTGCGGGAGCAGCAGCAGGAGGTCACCTACAAGGGGTGCAGGGCAAACGTGACGGTGACCCGCTGTGAGGGCGCCTGTGCCTCCTCCACCAGGTAAGCTCCTGGCCCGCACACCTCCCATGCTCCCACCCGGTGTCCTGTGGCCACTGCAACCTTGGGGGGTGGGGGGGGCAGGGCGGGGTCAGCCGCAGAGTGCTCCTCCTCCAGGGCGGAGGAGGAGGGCAGGGGGCTGTGGTGCAGACACCCTCCTGAGCAACCTGACCCCCGCTCCCTGGCAGCTTCAACTTCGAGAGCCAGCAGGTGGACACCCACTGCAGTTGCTGCCACCCAGTCAGCTCCCACAAGCAGCAGCTGGAGCTGCCCTGCCCAGACCCCAGCGCACCGGGACAGCCGCTCCTGCTCCCCCTGCAGGTGTTCACCAGCTGTGCATGCGGCCCCTGGAGCTGCGACTAGCGCGGACCAGACTCCTCGGCCACACGGCCTCTGGCCTGCAGTGCCTCAGGAGAGCCCTCAGACACGCATCACCTGGGGCACCTGCCAGGCCGGATCCCCCACCAAGCAGAATGAGGCACAAACCACCGGCCCTCCTGGGTGCACACACGCTTCCTGCTGGCCCTGTCCTCTGCCCACCCTCACTCCCAGCCTGAAGTCCGCGCAGCAGACAGAGGAGTCTCCAGCAGACCCCTGGACATAGTAGTCAGGCTGTGAGCACCTGGGCATGACAGGTGGGGCAAGAGGCACAGGCAGGCCCCAGAGGTACCAGATGAGGCCTCCCCAGAGCCATGGAGGGTGGGGGCAGCAGGACAGCAGCACCCAGCCCAGGCGGGCAGGATGGCAGCCAGCACCTGTGGGTGATTAAATTCCAATAAACTGGTTCTTGACAAGGCACAGAGGCTGACCCGTGAGCACTGCCTGTGTGACACCAGCATTGCCGCCGGGGTGGGCCCAGGCAGGTCCGGGACAGGAAGGGATGCCCCTCTGGTCTGGGGCCCGTCCCTCCCCAGGACTGTTCCCAATATCTGGTGAAGGCCACCCTCCTCAGAGACCCTTCTTGTCCACACCCACGGCTGGCTCACGGGGAGCCCCAGGCAAGGGCCACCTCACCCCTGCACACTGCAGACCTGGGGTGCACTCAGCACTAGGGAGGCCCAAGGCTGGGGAGTGTTCTGGAAGGCTTAGCCACACACCGGAGACGGACGGTTGGACCAGGAGTCACTCTTGCTCCCAGCACGTGCTGGAGGACTGGCTGCACCAGGCAGATGGCTCCCTGCACCCTTGGTGCCCGACACTCCAGGCAGCCCCTGGGGCGGGGCCGCGAGGGCTGGGTGGGAAGCGCCCTCCCCTCGAGACAAGGGTGCTCACACTTGTCTATGCAGAGAGGCTGCCTGCTGACGGCCCCTGGTGTGGTGCATGGGGGGCCCCTCCAGCAGCCCCTCCTCCACCCCACTGCACAGAGCCCAGCAGGAGGCCGGGGCCTGGCATCTCGTGCATCTGGGCTGCCACCCTCACCTCCCAGGGTGCACACCGAGGCCTCTCTCCTCCAACTGCACAGACGCAGGTCTGCACCCAGGCTGCAGGGGTGGCCTGGACAAAACCGACCAAAGCTGCAGGTCCTGAGCAGAGCCCTGGGGGCAGCACAGCCACGGGAAACCCAACAGTGAGCGAGGTCCTCGCCCCCAGAGCCAGGAGCCCCCCCACAGCACTGGTGCTGGGAAAGGCACACAATTCAGCACGCTCCCAGCTTCCAGACGGAAAGTGCACCCAGAGCAGCCAGTCAGGGCTGCAGCAAATGTGTCCCTCCCTGAGTGTGTGAGGACGCCTGCAGGACAGCCAACAGCAGTGCCCGCCAGGCATCGCCCCCAGGACAGCCAACAGCAGTGTCCCGCCCCAAGGGACAGGGAGCCCCCCCACAGGCATCGCCCCCAGGACAGCCAACAGTAGTGCCCCACCCCCAAGGGACAGGGAGCACCCCCCCCACAGGCATCACCCCCAGGGCAGCCAACAGCAAAGGGTCGGCCTGGCCTCCATGGAGCCAACACTGCTGCCCCAGGGCAGACACGGGCCTGGAGAACGGTGATTCTGAACCAAACTTCGACAACATCTCCATTTTCATTCAAACTTCTAATTTCCCTTTAATGTACAGACTGAGCCACAGACTGCCTTGATTTCTATAAAAACTGGTCCCAGGATCCGGGCTCTCCTTGGACGGGGCAGGCCCCTGTAGTCCACACTCAGCTTTCCTTCTTACAACACACAGTGCGTCCCACGCGTGGCCACGGGGACAGGGCTGCAGGCGCAGGGCTGGGAGGCCCGTGTCCAGTGGCCGCAGGCCAGGGAGCAAGGACAAAGCACAGGGACGAGAAATGCACGAGACACGGCCGCCTTCTGCCGGGCCGGCTAGAACTGCTCCGACAGCAACTCACACAGCCTCTGGGAGACGGCCTCTCTGCTCGTCCGCAGCGTGAGTCGGTACATCTGAAACAGGACGCAGCCGGTCAGCGGGGGCAGCACGCGGCTCCCCGCAGGGGCCCTCCTCACTCGGCCAGCCCTGGGCTGCCACTGCGCCCCAGAAGCCAGAGCCCCAGACACGGGCAGAGGTGAAGGCGCCATGTCCGACCAGGACAACCGCCCGCGGCACATGGGGTGTGGCCCTGTGCGGCCTCGCTCAGAGTTCACTGTGCCCCCAACCAGGAGCCAGCAGCCACATCTGTGGGCACTGCCCACCTGGGAGCAACACGGGCAATCACAGGGCCCCTCCACCGGCCCAGGGCCGGGCCTGCCCCAAGGTGCCCTGTGGGGAGCTGGAAAGGGCGTGGACCAGCAGGGTGGAGCACCTGGGACAGAGCAGCCCCCGCGGCCCTCACCAGCGCCAGAGCAGCTCCCCCTAGAGGCCTCACCTGGGCCTGCAGATTCGGCTCCAAGCGAAGCAAGCATCCGATCTGGGTAGTTTTGGTGTGGATGATCCCAGCTCCCACGAAGTTGGCAGGATTAGGATCGACTTCTTCAAGGAGTGCAGAACCAAACCCAATGATCTGTCCAAAAGAAACAGCACGGTCGGGACCTGGGCGCCGGGCGCCGGGCCCCAGGCGGCGCCTGCCCGTGACTGTCCCCACGACGCCTACCTTTGCTTTAGTGATCTCCGTGTCCATGGGATGCTTGGCTTTGAAGATGTTCTGCACCTCCTGCTGTGGGCTGCGGGACAGAGCCAAGGCGCTAGTCCTGGTGGCAGGGACAAGGCCCCTCTCCCCACTGGACTGCCCGCCTGCCCCCACACGCCCAGGCCCCGCCCACCCGATGGACAGCCCCGCCCTCTCACTTGCTCAGCTGCTTCCAGCGCTGAAAGAAATCCTGAGAAGCCATTTCTGTGGGCTGGAAAAACTTGTTGAGGGTGACGGGCAGCTTAACGGACAGG